CTGGACTGACCTATCCCCTTCCTAACTCCCTACCTACACTCACCTTTACTGGCTCCATCCCCGCCTCTTCGACCTGTTTGTTTCCTCTCCACCTATCCTCTCCTCTATCCCTCTTCTATCCGCCTCCCACTCTCTCCCTATTTATTTCAAAACCCCCTTCCCCTCCCCCTTTTCTGATGAAGGGTCTAGGCCCGAAACGTCAGCCTCTCTGCTCCTATGATGCTGCTTGGCCTGCTGTGTTCATCCAGCCCTGCACCTTGTTGTCTCGGATTCTCCAGCATCTGCAGTTCCTACTATCTCTGAGGATGGTTGATTGGCTGGTAACAGTAGAGGAGTTGTGGGCAGTTACCCTTCATTAAAAATCACTTTGAATTTCTTCTGAGGAACTTTTTGCTGAAATACAACTTCTCTTTCACTGTTTTATTGAACAGAAATTAATTATTTGCAGGGGCACAAACTATTTGGGCTACAAAGTAAAAGCCTCTGGCCTATAAAAGCATCTAATGAGTTATGGGTTTTGCCATCAAGAGTAGATGTTGTATAGAGCAGTGTAAATCACTGATTTCAAAGCTGCATGGTTAAAAGGCAGTGGAGTTAAGTGACCAGGCCTCCTAGCATGCGGTTGGCAGGATGGCACGGTTATCATTGGGACAAATGACATGCACTGTAGATAAATAACCATCAGTTGGTACATCCCAGAATTTAATGGAAATTCATTAACATCTGCTACCGAATGGAGTAACTTGAAATTCTGGAGGGTTTTTCTTTTTGCCTCTTTCTTGGAAACAATCACCTCCGTAGCAGTTTGTGCCATAACAGTTTAGTACTTCAGTTCCATCAGAAGTGGCAGGAGGCATTCACTGCCTGAAACTGATTTCTGAGAAGCTTCTGGAAGATTTCTGCTAAGTCCAATCACATGATTATTGTGGTCATCTCTGTTGGGCTGTTTGTTTTGTTTTGTTTTCAAAACCAGCACTAATAGTTTCGTATTCAAGGTATTGATTTGTAATCTGTTTGCAACAATTGTTAACCATGCTGGGTTATGGAGGGGAAGGAAAACTTATGATTTTTCTGACTCTTCAAGCAACAAGGTTGATGAAAATGTTGGATCATGGGATAGGATGCATGTCATCATGTTTTGAATAGAAGAATTGGTTTAGATGTGCTCAGAGTTATTATTTGCCTCCTGTGGTATGGAAAGAATTTTTTCATTTACAATGATATTTTCATTTATAACAAACTGCAAGAAGAAAGGCCAACTTCTTGTACTGTGAAAGCTTTGTTTAGACCATGAAGGTTGAACCAGAAACTGTCAGGAGTAATTGTAATTCCTCTAAACTAAGAATCCAAACTTTATAATGCATCAAAAGGACTTACGTGTTTGCATAAATTTTAGAAGTGATAATTTGTAATTTTCTTGATCCATATGTCCTAGCAACTCTTAACATGGAAGCAATACGTACAGGAAGCTATGTGGTCAGACACTAAGAAGATATGCAGAAGTGAAGGAAAATGAGGAGGAATATTTCCAAAAGCCATGCATGTTAGACAGAACCAAAATCTGAGACAAGGTTAGGCAAGACAACTTGGAGAATTTTGCTGCTGAGTTTTGCCAGAGCCAAACAGATGATTTAACAGACAACTAAAGGAGTCTCTGGTGAATCCATGCCATCAAGACTGTTATGTACCTATCCAAGGAACTTTCTAGGGATCCCAAAATACAGCTGCCTGTCAATGTGACAAAACTGATGATTGGGAAACTGAGAGGTCCTGCATATCAGAAGCCAAGGTAAAGAATTCTGGATTTGCATATGGTTCTGCAAGTCTGCAAAGAGTGATATGGGTGGTTGTGCAAGATCTTTCTGGCATTGATGATGTAAAATGCACCTTTTTTATTTGAAAAATATTTGTCTATTATTTCATGTTTAATTTGCATCGTTACAATTCAGGATAAAGTGAAAATGACATAAAGTGAATCTTATTAGTACTTTCTTCATTTGGGGGTCATTCAGTAAATGTGGTTATTTTGGTTTACCCTTCTCCGAAAGGGGAGTATAACAGCTGAATTCAGGAATGCTATGAGTGTATGTTAGTGCTAGATCCCAAAGGTTTAAACTCATGGTTGCTTAGAAAGTGCAGATACTGTTGCTATGCCACCCAATGTGTTTCTACTTTTTTTGCAGAGCAAGATTTTTCAAAAAGCAAGCGAGGTACATGACCTCCTTATGTTATTGCTGGTGGTTCTGGTTGACAGAGGAATGTTAATGAAGAGAGCGGGAGGACCTCCCTGCTCTTCCTCAAAAGATACCATGGGATCTTATAATCTGTACAAACTTTGACAGTTTGTTTGAAAGATTCCATTTCTTACGACCCTCCCGCGGTGTCCAAGATTCTGTGCCCAAGTCCTCAGAGTAACAATTCTTGAGACCAAAAGTAAATTTACTATATGTATCCTGAGTGGACATATGTTAAATTATAATATACTTACCAGATAATAATGGAATGAAAGCTAAGAATGAAAGGGAACAGACAGAAATTCAGTAGCTGTGAAATATTCTAATATTTCTACAAGCATGCAACATGGGCTGTAACTGAAATCTAAGATGAGTCTCAGCTGGTAGGTGAAAAATAGGACCCCAGAGGCAGACGAGCACACACTGGTACAGTCAATTCCAGATAAACACCAGTCTCAATCCAACAGCTGTGCATCAAACCACTTCCCACTCACTGCCATCAGGCAGTCCTAAGGAGCCAAGCACAACATTTGAGCACAAGCGTAAATAGACAAGCAGAAAACGGTTAAATATGAAAACCACCCACCTGCAGCCAGGTATAGTAAGAATTGCAGAAGCTGGAGTCAGAGATAACACAATGTAGAGCTGGAGGAGCACAACAGGCCAGGCAGCATCAGAGGAGCAGGAAAGCTGACGTTTCGGGTCGGGACCCTTCTTACAGAAATTTTCTGAAGAAGTGTCCCGACCTGAAACGTGTACTTTCCTGCTCCTCTGATGCTGCCTGGCCTGCTGTGCTCCTCCAGCTCTACACTGTGTTGTACCTGTAGCCAGGTATCACCCGTAAAGAATAGCACTGGCTTGAGCTAGTGTTTCAAATTCTGGGGTTGGAACCTTCAAGTCGGAAAACCCCATGGCTGACCCAAAACTGGGCTGAAGCGCAGATTCCAGAAATCTCACTTCCGAACCCATTATCAACAATTTTCACCAGAGTGGGTGGTGAATGGGAATGAGAATATTCCTGCCCACCCATGCATAACAGATGCTGTTGCCCTTATAAAAGCACAACTATATCCAAGCAGAAGCAATTTTCATTCCTGAGATTTTTAAAAGACAACTTGTAGTTTTAAACATTTGAGGAAAATGTCTCAACCTAGCAGAGTTCTTTAGAGGGGTGAGGAGGGAAATTTGGATTCTGTCCTTTCACACTCTGGGACTGGCTGGGACAGTGGGTCAGACACTGTCCTTTCACACTCTGGGACTGGCGGGGACAGTGGGTCAGACACTGTCCTTTCACACTCTGGGTCTGGCTGGGACAGTGGGTCAGACACTGTCCTTTCACACTCTGGGACTGGCTGGGACAGTGGGTCAGACACTGTCCTTTCACACTCTGGGACTGACTGGGACAGTGGGTCAGACACTGTCCTTTCACACTCTGGGACTGGCTGGGACAGTGGATCAGACACTGTCCTTTAACACTCTGGGACTGGCATGTACAGTGGTCCACATTAGCCTTTACTTCATGACAATTCAGATTTGAGTTTTTGGATAATACTTCTCAGTTCTCTATTGCTTTGCTAATACTAACAGGATTCAAAGCTTCCTCTGTGAATGAGATTTGGCTGTGTAAATCCAGCTTCTCGAAAGACTTGGGCACATAGAGGCACACTGCCTCAAAATCAGTATTAAGCTCTAGTAAGTTAATACTCCTACTCAGAGGACACAGAGAAGAAATACATACAGATGCAATAGTTGATCATCGGAAGTTGATAATGAAGTAACAATCAGAGACAGTGCAGATGGAGCTTTACCTTGCAAGTACTCACTCTCTATCATGAGATAAGCAGGTTTCATTTTAGTGGAAGATAATCCAATTTCCTTCACTAAAACCCCATAGCTGAGGAGTGCAAATCTCATTAGTGAAAAGTTCCCTTCTGCGTTTTCCACAGTGTTTACGGTAGTGGGTTGCTCCATTACAAAACCAATTGGAAACACAACAAGCTAAGGATCAGGACTGCATATGGCCACGGTGTTATTGATTTGCAAGAGCTCCAGCTACTGATGACAGAAACAAAGAATAAATGTTGCTCACCTCTGCTGTTCCTCCTCCAGCCGAATGAGGGTAGTCTCCAGTTCAGTGCTGTGCTCATACTCTGTTCTCCTCAAGCGGGATTCCACTGTCTCTACACGGGTCTGTAACTGAATTTAACAGCAGTATTCAACAACAGTGATAAGATAGCCTGGACTTGGGAATGATGTTCCTGGCATGAATGAGAGTAGAAGAAGCAAAAGGAGCCCTGATGACACCTCATGCCACTAGCCTACACAGTCATTATTCATGTCTAGTCCTAGTGTTGTGCCTCGTCTCACTATATTACCGCTGACATCCCTTACCAGGCTCCAGGTTCAACTTCTTCACACTGAAGTTGTCTGTCTGTTGATCCATTGCGGATTGATCTAAGTCAGGAACCAGCACTGTTTGCAGACATTGAGATTTTTGCATCATCACAAGGGATAACAAGCTGAGCCAGTTTCCCATTGCCTACTTCACAGTCTGTGGATGCTTATTCATTGGAGGGCTACAAACAAAGCCAAGAAAGACCACTTGACCTCACGATGAGGAAATGGATGCAGTGGGTGCAATGGTTCTGAAAAGGTTCAGTTTTGGAGATTGTATTCTGCATTACCCAATCTGATAATGTCACAGTCTTAGGTGGAGAACCAGGAAGTCTAGTTCTAGGTCTAATGTGGTCAGACCTGTCATCTCTGGCTCTAGTTAACATTAAATGATTATGCCCACATGTACCTATTGCCATTATTCAATCAACTACATCTTACTGGTAAAATAGGTGCTTCTTCTTATTAAGATTCACTAGTGGTTTATCATCCACCATTAGTAACTGAATAGGTCCCTGGACCTAATATGGAAGTGAAGGTTAGTGGCAGCATTCTACAGCAATCACAACATGCCTGAGCTTGGTGCTGTAACATCTGACAGTGGAATGGTTTATGTCAGGACCCATTAATGAAAACCGCTTATTATTACAATTTCCTCATACCCTGCTTCTTCAATCTTGTCCAACCTTAGTCATTTGGCCTCCTGTGCATCTCTCTCAACCTTAGTCTTTAGCTCCTAAAACTTATTTAACAGAAATCCCACCTCATAATCAGCTCTCCCTTGCTATATCTTCAACCTATCTTTAAAAACTACCAGGCTGCCTTCACTTGTGCATTCAGTTACCTTCCAACATTACTTGATGATAAGAACATAAGGTCATAAAAAATAAGAGCAAGACTCGGCTGTTTATCCAATTGAACGATGGAGCAGGATCAATAAGATCATGGATGATTTGACTGCAATCTGAACTCTAATTTCCCACCTACATCTACCACCTTCAACTCTCGTCAATCAAAAACCTGTCCGACTCAGCCATGAACATATTAAATGATCTAGCCTCCACTGCTCTGTCACAGAGAAATCCAAATACTAACATCCTCAGAGAACAAATTCACTACAATAAAGGAGATCATATTTTTTAAGTTGTTTTTCCTGTTCTAAAATCCCACACGAGTGAATATCTTCTCAGCATGTACCTTGACAAGTCTTCTCAAAATCCTTTATATTTCAATAAGATCGTCTCATTATAAACTTCTGAGTATAGAAAGAGGCTCTTCATCCCATGAATCAGCCCAGTGAACATCTTGAGAAATGTTTCCAATGCAAATGTAATCTTCCTTAAGGAAGGAGATGAAAAGTTTTTCGCAGTACACTAGGTTCAGCTTCATCCGTGCCCTGCACAATGTAATAATTGAGGCTAGAAGAATGCACTGTCACCCTTCATTCTTCCCCTTTAAACATTATTCTGACATTTTCCCCACCAAAATGAACAACATATTTTCCACATTATACTCCAGCCACCTAAATATTGAACGTATCTATATCCCTTTGCTGACTTTTTGTATTCTCTTCACAATTGCTTTCCAAAATATTATTGTATCAACAGCAGTTTTGGCTACAACATAATTCGTCCCTTCAACAATTCTTCAATCTCTATTTATATCTTGGATGAAGACCCAGCACTCCACCAGTTACAGTCTGTCACTATGAAAATGATTCATATATCCCTACTGTATCCAGTAAGATAACAATCTTCTATCAGTGCCGATATATTGCCTGCAAAACAGTGACGACTTATTTAATGCAGTAAAATGGAATCTTACTTGATGCTTTTTTGAATTCTAAGTACACAACATCTGCTTGTTTCATTTCATCTATCTGCTTGCTATCCTCTCCAGTAAACTTGCCGCTCACACTGAAGCAACTGTTGAACTGTTGAACATATCAATAATGAAACGTAAAAGAAATTTGCTGATACCAGACCAACGTTATGCTAAGCTGAGAGATCCCTCTATATTTTAAGTGCAGCAATGGAGTTGAATAGGCTACATCAAAGCTGGGGGGCATAGGACAGGTGCAGAAAAAAAACATTTTTCACATGGGCTGGGCTAAACAAGTGAGACAATCACCAGTTGAACTAACAGAGAGCCTCCATCTGGAACTGAACTGCAGTGAATCTGGTAACCAATTCCTGGCTTTTTGAGTGTGTGTGTGTGTGTGTGTGTGTGTGTGTGTGTGTGTGTATATATGCAAAAGAACTACCTTCCTTTTTCTTTCCCATCCTTTCGTTTCTTGCACTTTAAAGCCTTCTCACTATCTCACTTGTTTTGTCTATCCCTCCTTTATACTTTTTGTTTTGCTCACTCTTTCTCTCTGTCACATTGCCTACTCGGTTTCTCAGCTGTTCTCACTCTCAGTCTCTTGGACCCAGCTATATGCCACGTGAAAAGGCCAAACTACACAAGTGGTTTAGACTGAGTGATTCATACCCACCAACACTTTCTGCTGTTCCAACTCAGAGGTCTTCTCAAGAACCTGCTGTTCCAGCTCACCGCATCTTTTCTTATACTGCAGGACCTGAAAGGGGCAAGGAAAGAAATTCACCTTAGATCTCTGCACCTTTGATGATGAAACTTTACGCAAATCCTAACTGCCAAGTAATGAATATTAAATTTGAATCGTCTTATGGCATACAATGACTATCAGTGCCTGCACGGAACTGTATTGTAGCAGAAGGTAGATTTCAGGAAGGGAGAGGAAAATGGGAGAAAATTCTAGAACAAAGACCAATAGGCAAGGTATCATCCTTGTTGGTAGATGCAACATTTTCTTTTGGTTTGCAATCTTACCAGCATGGATGAACTGACAGCGCAACACTGTGGATCGTCCAAGTCCATGCATTTCCTATAGGTAACATCCCAATCATACATTCCTCTTGAGCAATTTCCATTGCTGAGCATGTGTCAGAATTCTTGGAGGATATCACCCAGAATCAGCTGACCTTTTCATGGTTAGGCCTATGTATTGGGTACCCTTTTGGGTTCCTGATATGTGTTCCCAATGGATCAGATTCTTTGCCAGAAATGTAAAGTTAGTCAGTTGTTCTAACTTTTCAATTACCCGTGAGAGATTTGCAACTTGTTCGACTTTGTTTTGTCGCCCTCAAACCAACTTTCCAACTCCATCTGGAACATGGGACAGACGAGATTCCATGGCACTGTTTCAACAAGGAGCAGGGGTATTCTCCCTGTTGTCCTAACAAATATTAAATCTTTCAATGAACACTGGAGATTATCTGGTCATTATTGCTTTGCTATTTGTGGTATCATGCTGTGCGCAAACTAGTGGTATTTCCTGCATTCAACAGTGAGAACAATTCAAAAGCTACTTCATTAGTTGTAACAAGTTTTAGAATGTCTGAGATTGTGACAGGGGCATCAGAAATACAAGTCTTTCATTTCATTCCCCATCCCCCCTACCCCATCAACAGTCCACTGCAAAATGGTTGTAGTTAAAACTTGAATTGGGCAAATGTTCAACTTTTATATAAAAATCTTCGATTACTAAACTCTCACAAATGCACAGTCTGATTGCCAAGAAACGTTGGACCAATTTTTCTGTAAATTGATGATAAAAATAGTGAATTAACCAACCCACGTGTTCAGGCCCCTTAATCATTCTTTCATTTAGCTTGCATGAAGAACAGGAAAACGGTAATGCACTCAATTATTAGATATGAGCATGATTAGCCTTGTAACTGTACTGCTGTGTCTCAATGACTTCTGCCTGGGGAGTTGCCGGTGTTTGACATTCTGGCCATTCAACGCTGGATAATCCGGAACATTCTTTGTTTGGATCAGTAGTTTGTGTGTGTTTAACTGTTATTCTTGGAGTAGGAATGCAGTGCAATGGGAAGTGGTTTGCCCTGTCAGTATTCTGTGTTTAGATCAGATCTTGCTTGGACCACATCTGAGTTTATCTGGAGTCATCTGTCCAAACAAATTTTGGATCCAAGCATTACATTATTTGGCCCAAATCTTGCAGCAGATTTAACTCTTCAAAAGACTTCAGCAGGACTATCTCAAAATCCCCTGCTGTAGTAACAGATTAGACTGTGGTCATTTTACTGCACAGTGATAGTGTGATTCAGTTTTCACTGACAGTTTTGACTATATTCTGCCTGTGAGTGTCCTAGATAAAGCAAGTTTTGGACTCTTGAGTGGATATAGCTCTAAAGCATAATAATGTCTCTAATTCCATATTATGTTAATTTTAATGTTAATCAGATTCAACCTTCAGAAGGTTGTTGTGGGAAATGGAACAATTTCCACAAGACATTCACACAGTGGCATATTACTTGGAACCCACTTTGGCATGCTATATCTAACACTAGATATCTAAACCAGTAATCTTTCCATTTCGCAGCCACGTTCCTCACTTGGATGTGCTCAGTTTTGGGTTGATCCCATCTACAAAGGGAGGCTTTGCTCAGACCAAAAGTTACATTCTCCTACACAACTTTTTTATACTGATGAAGTAGAATCATCCTCTTCTTCCACTTCTATTTTGTGGATTTTTCTTCTGATTATTTGGTCCAAAACTGGCCTAAGACCCATTGTCGGATTCCACCTGCTTCATATTGAGCACTTCCCCATTCTGCAGGCCCAGTCCTGTACTCAGATGGACTCATTTTCAAAGGTGACCTTGCTGGTGAGGAGCTAACCTGTACTTCTACAGGTTGGCCTCTCTGCTGACAAATCAAAATGATAAAATTACTTCTTGGGTTGTACATTGAGATCCAGTTCGGTAATTGTCAACTCCCACTAATCTCTATCACATAATCAGTAACCTCTATTTACAGAATCAATCATTGGCTCTTCAAATGGCTATCATTACCTAGTGCCAACTTCTTGCTTTTTCTCCATACCCTTGCACACTATTCCTACCCAAATAATCATTCAATGCTTTCTTGAATACCTCAAATTAGCATCACCACATTTCCAGGCAGTGCATTCTATAGCCTAATTACTTGCTACATGAAAACATTTTTTCTCACATAACAGCTGTTCCTTTTGCAAATCACTGAGTCTGTGCCCTTTGGTTCTTGTTCCTTTTATGAGTGGGAGGAGTTTCTCCCTGCCTACCCAGTCCAGCCTGCTCATGAATTGAACATCTCAACCTGATCTTCTCTTAGCCTTCTTCTCTAAGGGGAATAGTCTCAGCTTCTTCAATCTATTTCTCATAACTGAAATTTCTCATCCCTGGAAATGTTCTTGTAAAATTACTTCTGCACTCCCTCCAATACATTCACATCCATGCGTTCCTATAATGTGGCATCCCAAACTGTACACAATACGCTTGCTGAGATCTGATAACTGCCTTGTACAAGTTCAACATCATGTCCCCTTATCAATAAAGCTGAGGACACTGTGTGTTTTACTTACTGCTGTCTCTACCTGTCCTGCCACATTCAAAGATCTGTGCACATATACACCCGGGTCCCTCAGCTCCTGAACCCCCCATCTCATGGGATTAACAAAACTGGGGTTGCATGTGATGATGATGATGATGATGTAATGAACTATTCCCGACATCAGGATGGGCTATTCTCATGGAACTGTGTAAAGTAAATCCCTATCTTTCAGTTTAATGTGCATGGGAGGGATTGTCAAGAAAACAGGTCAGAAATGTCTTTGGCTGGGAGTCATACCATTCAGCTGGGCTTCAACTTTTAGATGTGGCTACCAACCCTTAAAGGGGAGACCATTGTTATGAGCTCAAAATGCTTAAACCACAGAAACAATAGTTCACAAAGAGAATTGTGGATGTAGAATCTGTCTCATTTGTTGCATTATGTCACCCAGATATGAGATATATCGTCAAAGGACATGTTCATGCTGTCATCACCATATCTTGTACAATAGTACAAAGGTCTCACTCCATCTTACTGAATCCTCTTGCAGCATGACACACTGACGGAAACATGCTGAAACACATACAATATACCTAGCTTGAGCCCATGTGAAACAAGTGCCTGTGATTGTACTGTGCATATGTAGATAGCAGGTGCAAAACAAAATTTCATTGAATTTTTCAGTAATACATGACCCACATCTCATCCATATATTACAGAAGGTAACATAAGTATTACATCATGGTAATTGAAGATAATCAGTTATCACAACATATCACACCATCACTCACTGATAATATCTTGCTTTACGGTCAGATGGAAAGGAAGGAAAATGATCTGGACAGGAGAGTACCCTCTCCTGTAAAGCTGAGAGGCATGGAAGGAGGTGGCCAACTCATTAAAACTGTTCATCAATTAGCAAATTAAGACTAAATATGTGTATTTCCAGAGAAACATTAAGGAAAGTGGTCTAAAAGATGGCAGTTCAGTTTAATCAAGAAAATAGAAATATTGTTGGAGATTGCAATATGTGGTATTGTTTAACTTACAAGAAAGACTATACATTGAGGACGTGTGTTTCGAGAACTAGTTCTTCAATTTTGAACAACTGCTAACTTGCCGCCCTAATCATCAGCTCCCTCCTAACCATTGTCCTAATTAAATTACTGTCATCTTCATAACAAATTACCTATACACTTCTTTTATAATGGTACAAGTGTGTGGGATGAGGTAAATGGTCACATGGACTGTGCTTGCCCAATTACGGTCTGATATGAACATAGAAAACATCTTCCAAAGTCATTCCTTTTCTTCATTCCACAAATCATCTGTACCAGAATCTTTCAAAGATCTTGTCCTCCTCTTCGTGATCTACGTGTCAGCCTATAATGGCATCAGATACAAGGTCAACTTTCACATTCACGTTAAATGATACCCAGCCTCTGACTCTAACAACTTCTCTGTTACTTCAATGCCTCTGTGCTTACCAATCTGCACCTCTGTATCCTAATCTTGGTCAAATCATTTTTCTTTGAGATCCAAACTGGAAAAGTCATCACCTTTAACTTCCAATTCAAAAGGTTCTTTTGCTGATAGTTTCAACCTCTTCCCTAGCCACTGCCTCCCATTGAACATAAGCTTGAGATTGTGTTCAATTATGAGCAGAGATTCAGAAGCTTTACCTTCTCTCACTTCCATTTATGGAGTCATAGAGTCATACAGCACGGAAACAGGCCCTTTGGTCCAACTCATCCATGTGGACCAGTCTTCCCAATCTCACCTAGTCCCATTGCCAGCATTTGGCCCATATCCCTCTAAACCCTTCATATTCATATACTCAACCAGATGCCTTTTAAATGTAATTGCACAAGCCTCCACCACTTCCTCTGGCAGCTCGTTCCACACATGCACCACCCACTGCATGAAAAAGCTGTCCCTCAGGTCCTTTATAAATGAATCCCCTCACATGTTAAACCTATGCCCTCTAGTTTTGTACTCCTTCACCCTGGGAAAAAGACCTTGGCTGTTCACCTTATTCATGTCCCTCATGATTTTATAAACCTCTGTAAGGTCAACCCTCAGTCACCAACGCTCCAGGAAGAAAGCCCCAGCCTATTCAGATCTCCCTATAGCTCAAACCCTCCAGTCCCAGTAACATCTTTGT